CTCTCCGATGGCCAGCCAGAGTCCATTTACCTGCTGTTGATAATTAGACAGATAACTAGGTGGACAAAACTCGTCTAATATTTAGAGGTGAGGGGGCTGGGTTGTGTTACACTCCTTTCAGAGTGGATAGCGACAGTGAAATCAATCCGCGGTGACTCGCCGCTGCTGCTCAGCGTCGAGGAGCCGGACCCCAAAGCCTCTCCAAGCATCGACGTGGATTCCAGCTGGAAAAGCTGAAACAGGAGCCGCGGATCATCTGTGCGAGAGGCCGGAGTGTATAGGAGATGAGTAGCCCTCGATGAATATTTAAAACACTCATTTTGGTACTGCGCTGTCGTGCCGGAGCCAGATGAAACATGGTGCCAGCGGAGGGATCAGATGTGTGCGTGTGTGCCGCCATGCACCCGTCTCCCCGTGAAGTGATCCAGGCCATATGATAGCACGCTGGATGAAATAATAATGCGGCAAGATTCAGTCTGCTGCTCCAAAAGAAAAACTAAATGGCAACAATAGAGATCATGTTATTGGGGATGCAAGGCAGGGCTCAAGAAAAATGAAGAGGCGGTTGTTTCATCATAGATATTAAAAATATATATATAGCTGAAAAAAGAAAAGATCTGTTATCTCACGGAACTTCACAAGGACGTGCGGAATAGTATAGTTTCACTTACTGTCACATCTCAGTCATTTAAATTATTGTAATTTATTCTAAATATTGGGCCCGCATGGATGAAATGTTTAAAAACATATAGACATGTTCACATTATTAAATCAAACAGGATAATGGTTACTAATATCCGTAGAGGGAAATGTCAATTTTCTCCTGATATGAAATTTACAATTTAGCTTCAACTGGTGTTACTTCTGGAGAGGATTACTGAACAGTGGATTATGGACTGCACTCAGCACGTGCAGCGTCATTACTCGGGAAAATAAAACATGTAAAGATGACGGGAAAAATAAGGTCATGAAATAAGGCCAACAATAATACACATCTGACAACTGGCTTGTCTGTTGGCTGGGGTGCTTAAAATATTGAAAAAGCAGATGTGCCAACAGTAGCACTGATCCAAAAATGGTCTTGACATTTTATTCATATTAATATATAGTTTCTTAATGTTGAAAACTGCTCTTACTCACACACACAGATTGTGTACAAACCATCTTCAGCAGGGTCTCCTGCACCGCTGTTGCAGCAAAGGAGTGGATGGGTTTGTAGTGGTGGTGGATGGGGGCATGTTAATCAGTGGGTCATCTATTAGTAAAGACCCAGGGATCATTGTAATGCCTGCTGCCGCTGCACCCCCCCCCCCCCAACCCCCAAATGTGCCATTGAATTAGAGCTTTTATCTTCCCCCCCCCCCCCCCTACTAATTCCCTTCTTTTCCAATCCCCCAACATGCCTTGCTGCTGGTGAGCTGTCAGCCCATCAACCGATCTGGGTGAACCGTCGCTGACATGCAGGCTGTGTGTTGGGTTTCTCAAGCCTGGGTTGGGTGGCAGGCAGTGGGCTCCCTCAGGTTACAAGCTCTACTTCACTGGCACAGTGGGGGGTGGGGGGGGGGGGGGGAAACACAAGAGAAGAAACCAAATCCGCTTTTTTTATTTTAGGTATCTTTAGTCGTACACAACAAACAGTTTTATATGATTGCAGAATGCACCGTGGATCTGTCGAGGCCTCATGTCATAAAACAAGATGATGGGAAATATCAACAGTTAAACTGACTCTTTTCTAAACATAGAGGAGTATAACTTGAGCTGCTGGGGCCTTTATTAAAGAATGCACGCATGTGTTAGATTTACTGCTAAAAGCTTTGCTACGGAAAATACCGCAGCCAACAGTGATTGATCTTAACTCGCAGCAGACAGCTCATGGGCCTAATGTGGAGCCTCAGGGCATCGTAATGCCTTAAAAGGCCATAACGGCACAGGTCACCTGACCACCCTGCTCAGTGAGGACCAATCGGACGACTGGCATTACGTCATGGAGGCCCACAGTTTGTCTTGACCAACGCACTGCGGATAAAACAGAAGCTTTAAATATTTCATTGAGGATCTCAGGTTGCTGGACTTCTGGAGGTCAGGACGGTGAAGAGACAGATAGCCTGGTCCTCTCCTCCCTCCCTCCCTCCATCATCCTCCCCCTCCTTCTCCCTTTTGATGCAGGAGAAGGGTGACAACAGAGGGCTGGGTTTTTGCAGCAAAAAGTGTCCACTGTGAACAATAGTCCTTAACCAGGGGACTTGATATGAAGTACACAGTAAGGTGGTCCCAGCTATTGGTTTCACATACTTCCAACATGCTGCTCTGACTTGTGCCTACAGATGTTCTATATTAAACAGAAAACTCACCAGACGGGATGCAGAATAGGTGCTGCGTAATAGCAGGTGTCACAGGAAGCCTTTTCATCCCTCGTACACCCAGTTTAAAATGAACTGAATCTGGATCATTGAGACTTCATATTCTGCATTAAAACTGGGGGTGTGGAGTCTGTAAGATGAGGGCTTTAAACGAGCAGAGAGGGTCAAAAAAAAAAAATCTAATAGGGTTGCATTATGGGTATTGTATGAACCATCACTTTTGAAGCTTGACTCATCCTAGAGACTTCAAGACAGGATACTTCAGCCTCTGCCGCTTCAGTTTGGACAGTTTCTTCTGGTCCCCTATCATAATAAGTTAAATACTAAATAACTGAAGTACTCCTTTTATTTGTACCCACAGTATGGCGATTCATTGTGAGGAAATACTGTAGCTCTGAACATGTCTGTCCTTATAAGTGTCATCTCTTTTGTTGGAACACGGACACGTGTCGATCACCTCACTGACATTCCTGGCCGGGATGAAGACCCTCTAGGGCTCTGATCTGGACAGGCTGGAGCTTGTGGCCTGGCACAGGATGTATAGTCGGGAGAAAGAGGTGTGTATAGAGGAAGAGCACCAATTATCTTATACTGTGCTGTCAAATAATTCAATACAACATCTTTCTACAGCCTAAAAAACGACAAAAAAAAAAGAAAAGAAAGATGAAACACAAATCCCACAGCATTCATTCTAGGGCTATTGTAGTAACTGCATTACATTTGAGGGTGTTCTTGGTATTCTGTCTAGCCTCTTTGTGTGTACATGACAGAGACAAAGGAAGAGGATGTTACACGAGCCAGGCACACTGAATGTTAAATATCCAACACAGCAAAAAGCAACATTTTAGGAATATCAAACCGGAGAGTAATTTCACATCTCAGCAATGCCACAGAAATGAAGACAAACATGAAGAGAGAGCAAATTGCTGCGTGACAGAATACATTTTTGTTCAGAGGAGAGGGGATTAAACAGCCTTATGTCACAGCATTTATTTTCCCCTGCTGTGATTATACAGAGGGGGTTTCAGCAGAGGGTTGAGGAGGACGTATGTGACAGCGCCCTCATCTGCCTCTTTTGGGAAACTGCACCTATCATTGCATGTGAAGGCTTGCCCTTAATGCAAGGTTAATCTCGCACAGTCCAATGTCCCCTTCAAAATGAAACCCCAGTCAGAAGCTCAAATGCTTAGCAGATTTGGCACAGATCACTGGAGTATACAAGATTTGCAATGCTATATGAACGCAAACAGCACTCTAAAGGTCACTCAATGTAACAGATGATAGAGCTACTACCGAAAACACCAGTTTATGTCGGCTTTGAAGGAAAATCCAGAAGCCAACTCTCAGTATTTGGATTGCTGTAGTCATTCATCACCACCCCCATTTCAGACTGGACGTACTGGGGTACTAACCTCATTCTCTAGTTTCACAGGGAACTGTGAAACTAGAGAATGAGGCACAGTCGAGTGTGGTGCCGCACTGACATCGAGACACAGTCGAGTGTGGTGCCGCACTGACATCTTGTGGAAGTGCTGCAAACCATACAATATTAAAATGTTAAAAATGGCTGAAAAACAATGTAAAATTGAAATGTAATAAACATCAATCTGATAACATATGCGTGTTTGAGAAGAGTGCAATCATTTTGTTCACCTTAGAGACATCTGACACAACTGGAATTCAGCTCACTGAGTGAAAGTAAAGGGAGATAAAGACATTCTTATCAGACCATCCACAGGTCCCAACTTGTATGAACAAAAACAGACTGTACGTTGAATGTGTTCAGACATCGTGTGTACACGTTTTCTTCAGTAAAGTCCTGATGATATAACATGTACTGTATCAGGATGTCACAGTACTCTGGGTGCAACATATGAGAATCAGACTCAGACAAAAAACCTTTTATACACATTGAATGTTTTATTAAAAAAAGAAGTTAACAGTTTATTTTATACACAACTATTTATGAGGTTATAAGCCTATTAATAGAGAGCATTTGTCTTTTTGACAAGCATGCCCACTTCACATTGCAAAGAAAAAAAACAAGAGGGCAAAGAGGGTGATAAAAATAAGACCGAGGATGAACTTTTTCAAAACAAAATAAAAACCTTTTGACTTTTTTTAAACCCTCAAGTATCGCACAATAGGTAACAAATACATAGTTTCTATTAAAAAAAAAAAAACCTGCCATTTCCATGCTGTGTGTGCCTGCTAAATCCCCCGATTGCAGCAGTGGACCAGCACAGGGCACAAATCCACACAAGCACAAGACGTGGGAGGTGTGCACCAAGCGAGCCTCGACTCCACACCAGAAGCATGCAAGTGCACAAGGAGATACAGTCAACACAGGGAGGGGGGAGTGGGGGATATTACAAGATCAGGGTGCTGGCTCTCTGCAGCTGTGCTGATAAAACGGAGGACGAGCCCTGGACGTCCCGTCTATGGATTAATGACAGATCGGTCCTTCATCCTCATTGAATCCGGCGGGGTGTGCGGGGGATTGTGCAGGTGTGGTTGTGGGGATATGGCTCTGGACTGGACCTTCTCTGCAGTTTTTGCAATTAGAATTTTGAGGACCCCATCAATCATGTTAATGTGGTTGTCTGGAGTTGCTGTTTAAAACAGAGTAGTGAAGACATAGCTGTACACCTGTGGTCTTAGAGCAGACGAGGGGAGAAAGCCAAAAGGAAATGAAATTTAAAAAAAGCACTTTAAACATGTTTCTCCAAATTAGTTTCAGTTGTAATGGGAAACAATCATTCACTGGTTTGAGGACATTTTCTTTAGTTGGTGACCTGAATCACAAAGGCAGTAATTATGTCCCTTGACCTTGGAATTGTGGAAGAAAATGAGGGAGGCCGCTGAAACGATCAGAGGGTTGTCATGTTGACCAGAGCCATACCAGGCCAGTTTGAGTACATCGTCAATTTATTGCTGAAAACTAAAACCAAACCTATGATTTTACCCGAACACAAAAGTCTTTTTGAAAAAGACAAAAATATCAGTTCCCTGTTGCACCGTTGCCTCATAATGTGCTACTTTATTACAATTCTCAACTCGGATAGACCATATTTTCGGCACTCGCATACGATACTGCCCAAATGTAAAGTAAAACAAGCATTCAATCTTTACTCAAGGATATCATCAGTGTGATAATCTAGCTGACCCATAACTCGGTGGCGCTTGATGACCCAAGATTAAAAGCTATAAAGGAGGTCTCTATAGTGAATACAAACATGTATAGGCAGCTTAGGGAGAAAACACAAGCCAATTGAGAGAGAGTGGGGTTCTGCACACAGTTTGCAGGTTTGTTCTGTTGAAGTGGATGTGGATGCCAAACTTCACCACAAACACTCTGAACACATGAAGACATTCACATAGCCTTATACTGCCTTCAACATGTCGAATATCACAAGTTAGCTGTGCGACAGTTAAAAAACGGCTGCATCCTGCCGGAAGCTAACCCTGAAGCTAACAACCAAAACCTCAGACAGGATGAGAGAACTTATTACATGTAACTTTTAACAGCCAAAGTCTTCAGATAAATATTGGAAATTAAAAACAAAGTCAGGAAGTGTGTCTGTTCTAAAATCGGCATAGAAATGTGACAATTATGAGCATATCAGTGTGTTGTAAATCATGTTTTTGGGAGAAAATCCAATCTCTTGAAAAGGGCCGAACCACTTCTGTACAGTTGGATCCATCAGGCTCACTACAGGTTGAACATAACCAGAGTTTGAAATCACTCGCGCTCTTCTGTACAACAGGCATGTCTATGGAGTATCTCACATTTTACCACACAACAGACACTCACTAAAAACCAGATGATTGCTTTATCTATAGTTTACCTCACTAGCTAACTCTAATCTGTAACACAGCCAGAAAGCGCATGTTTAGTTGAAGTAAACACCCAGTGAAACTAACTATATCCTGTAAAAAAACAGTTCAACAAATATTATTATGATTTCCATCCTTTCAATGCGTCCTGGGTGAAAATGTTAATCACAATGCAAGATACAACCAAACCGTATTTGGAACCTGAGCCAGAAAAGTCTAACATTAGCTCAAATGAACCCAAATGCGACTCAGCCCTGGGTAACTCCCCTTCTCTGCAAGAGTGTGGCAATGTAGACGTCGAATCACAATTTGCACAGTGTCACTTTACGGACAGAGGAGAGTGAAAGATGTGTAAAAACCATGTGCTTTTCTCGTGACTTTTGAACTTCATGACTGTTTGGAAACATGGTTCTGGGAGAGTTCTTCAATGGTCGCCCTTCCTTTTGTGATGAGGCACAGAAGAGTTGAGATCAGAAGTGATAAGGTGACCTTTTGTGCCCGATTCAGCTTCGACTCTCGCACTCAGGATGCACAATCTGCCACGAAGCAAACCGGTCATTCTTACTGCGATCTATGAAGCGAATACATTTCAGGGTTTTCTAGGTAGTTCGACTGCAACGTTAGCCTCGACAAGCAACACCTGCTCAGTGTTTTGGGTTCAACACTGAATTTTCATGAGGCTACAGGGAGGTCTCTTATCACTGTACAAGGTAGATGCTGTACATAAACGCATTGACCACCCCCCCATTGGGCAAAATTATTATTTTTTTCTTTTTAAATACAGGAAATAAAAGACGGAAAAAACAGGCAAAGGTCAAAGCTGCGATTGCAATTTCTTTCCACGCATCATGGATTTGCATCTTAACCTGCCGCATTGAATCAACAATGAATAACACCATTTTTTTTTTTTTTTCAGCTAAGGAGTTCAAATCTATACATATTAAATGAATCCCCTCAACGAAAATTGCTGTAAGCCTGAATGTCATACATTGGGCTCCTGGTAGGCAGACATAAAGAGGGAATGGAGTTGATGCAGTCGGGGTATATACCACAGGTGGGACCTGTATGACGGGCATGCATTTGAGCAAAACTCAAGGTAACAGTGGAATGTGAGGCGGACCGATACTACACAAACTGGAATCTTTCCACTTTTGCTGCTTTTCACTCAAATTAAAAAAAACTGACTTTGGTGCTGGTTTTTCTAAATTCACCAGAAGAGGTGATAAATACATTCTTTCTCGACCTGACAAAGTTGTTCGTGACCAACAACACTAATAGAAATGCGTTTTAAAAGCAGGACAGGTGATTTGAAAGCCAGTGGGCATCCTGCACAGTGAGCATGTGTTTTGACTTTCATGACAGAAATTTGCATGAAAAATTAAATTCATATGGTTCGACGTTTTAAAGGGTAGCTCTGGTCCGTTTGCGAGGTCCCCTCACACCAAGTGAGTACGACCAGAATCTCCACAAATGCCACTTATGTCTTCATTGCCTTTGTGCATGAATCAGCCATGCAGTTTATGCAGCTAGTGTGTACGATCAACACCGTAAGCACCCAACGTGTCTTTGTCCCTCTGACAAGATATGGATCTGATTCATTATCCCCCCCAAAGACCTCGTTAAGCATTTATTTTGCTCTGCACGGTGGCACATGTAGACAGGCAGCAGCAGGTCAACAAAGAGCAACACAAAGGTAAAGTAACATGCAACTGAATGTTGAAAAAGATATGCTGAGGAAGCATTCAGGGTTGATTTATGAGCTTATTTTGGCACTACACTTCTTGTACTTTTATATAAGGTGTGCTGTGACACCTTGGGTGGGATTGTGCCTCAGAAACACCGTCTCGACTACGGGATAATATTGTAGAGCTGTACACCATAGGCAAGCAAGACCTAAGCAGCTCTGTGGCGGAGCAACTAAAAAAGAAAGGAAATTAGGTTTCAGGTCAAACATATATATTTTTTATGTATTAAAAAGTGAAATTTTGAGTAAAGAAATGAGATGTTCACGGGGAGACTTCCTGCCTACGCCTACATGAAGCACCTTAAAAACGTGGAGATAACAGGCGCGTGTGAAAGCAATCGCGACATCTGTGAAGGAGAAACAGCTACAGAACGGGAGGGGTGTCTGTCAAACACACCGAAGGCTAGATATCCATAAAAATCCTTGTTTAGTAGTAATAGTAATGATAATAATAATAATAATAATAATAAAAAAAACAACTTGTTTAAATATGAATAGTATAAGTCTGCTTTCTCATGGTTAGGAAATCAAATATAGTCTCTGTGGGGGTTAAAGGAGGAGGCGGGATGGGGGAGCCCTCCTATCACTACAACTCCATGTCCTGGGCCTCGTCTTCTGAGAAATCAGACATGGAGCTTTCGGATGAAGAGTCGCCTGCCCCGTCTTCCTGCTCCTTCAGAGCCTCCTCTGTTGCATATTTCTGGATGTACTCTGTGGAGGGAAAAACAGAGACAGAGAGAGAGAGAGACAGAGAGAGAATATTTGTGAGGTAATGACATTGGAAAAATAACTTTTTCTGGGTGTGCAATAACCTAAAAATCTAAAAGGGATCTGCAATCTACACCCAACAGATTGTGATTAGTTTTAACCTTTGATTTTCTGCTTGTACTCCTCGGGCCGGTGAAGGTACATGGCAGCTGCATCTCCATTCAGGGGGTCGATGGGGTTCGGGTAAGCCAGCAACTGGGGCAGGAACGACTCAAAGATGTTGGTCAAATCTGGGGAAGAAGGAAACAGATCAATGGACACACGTATCAGTCAGTGATGAGCCGACGGAGATGCACGGTGCGTTTACTAGTAGCAAGATCTCACAGCCTAGCATGGGCTCACAGAGGCTAGAACCACACTAATCCCTTCCCCTCGCTCTCTGCTAGCAGGCCTGAGCTTTCTCTCACAGCTGAGGCCTGGAGGGAAAAAAAAAAAAAAAAAAAAAAAAAAAAAAACTGCAATTCTGCGCTCATCTCCGGGGTGTCACTGTTGAGCCCATTGAAGCTGGGAAAACAAAACACCTTCCTACATGCTATTGTACAGCACCATCATGTTTACATGATTCAATCAGTTGCTTTTGTTCCCTCTTGTTACACAGAATCACTACAGACAATGCTTGGTTGATTGGTCTATTCATTCCATGTTGGTCCAATCTGATTTCCGTTCTTCAAAAACGCCAAGTACAGCTAAATGTGTGCACAAACAAAAAGGTACAGTAACTCAAATGTGATTCTTGACTTGATGGTTTGATGCAAGTTTAGAGAAAAACAGGCCAAGCTGCCTCACTTGACCGACATTAAATCAGCAAATCTTTCCATCTTTATTTCAAAACGCTGGAATCAAGAGGTCAGTGCTTAAATAACATTTAGGGTTTTAACATTTGCCTTGTTCACACCGGTGAAGATAAATAGGCAGGGAAGCTGAAACAACTGCTAATGGCATTACTGTAATGCCATTTATATTGCTCAACAGCTATCTCAGCCCTGTGGAGGGGCTGTAATGAGAACTTAATGGGGAGATAGGGAGAAGGGCACAGGGACATGGAGAGGAGCAGAGAGGGAGGAGAGCAACTGGGTGACAAATGGTAAGTACAATCACGAGAGCATGTCGTTCACAGCTGGTGACTGTTTTCTGACCTTGCTGGGCGAGGGTATTACCTAGTTATTGCACACTTCTCTCCTCAGTAAGTAGATTAGGGCCAATTGTGCACCGCTGCCCAACGTGGCCACACCTAGCGAGGGGGGGGGGGGGCCCCGCAGTCACCTATCTGGTGGCTCCGTGTCAAGATATTCGCACAGACCCGCCAGTGAGGGGGAACTTAATATGGACACATACACAGTTGTGTCCACTCACCATAAAGGGCTGTCCATGTCTGGTTGATGACATCTAAGCACACTGTCCCTGACCTGGGAAACCGAGAAGAAAACAAGAGTTAGAGGGGTTAGAGGGGTAAGGCCGAGACAATCTGTGTGCAACGAGGGTCCCAGTATGTCAACGGTTCATCGGGGCTTGTCCTTTTGCAAATGTGGCTGTGAAATGCAGCTTTCTTTTGCCTCACAGTGGAGCACAGTGGAGATATATTCCTTGGTTCCCTAAATACTCGTGTGGCAGTCAAGTGCTTAGAGGAGAGTTCTGGAGGTTGTTGTCAAGTTGTGAAATATCATGACCAGGTCAGACATAACAGGTAGTTGCAACCAAATAACTATCAGTCACTGGTGAGTGTATTACTGTAAGTAGACCAATGGCAAATCTGGGTTTGAATAATGGAAGCCTGACATAAATAAATGACATATAAAACTTTCTGATGGGAGCAGCCTCAATGAGCTATTATCTTTGGTCTTTGCGAGACTAGACTGTCCTACTTGGTCCTCCCTTCACAGGGCACATCCCTCAGAGGATCCGGCCTCTAAGCAGTGGATTACTGGGCCGAGAGAAACAAAGAGCTTGGCCCGGTTCAATATTTTGTAGGATTTACTGCTGTTCGCGGATTGTGCAAAAACTAGTGACTCATATCAAAGTATTAAAAGTGTAGTTCACAACTTAAGCGGACTCATTTTACACTATTTCAAGGCCTAGAACACAACACATGAAAAAGCTAAATAGGACACTTTTCAATTGCGTGACTGAAATCAACTTACGCTTCGTCAATGTTGGGATGAAAAATCTTGTTCATGAATCCTGAAAAATCAAAGCAGAGATGATGAACATGAAGTGGAACCCCCCCCCCTAAAAAAAGATTGCGATGTTATCTTGATACGACAGTAGAGCCCCTACCTATTGATGGTGATTTGAAAGGGTATTTGTCAGGAAGATCTACTCGCACCTTCCACACGCCTCCTTCGTACGGTGCTGCACATGAGGAATGCAGAGGAGAGACTTTCATTCCATTGAACGTCATATTTCATCCTTTATGCACTCTAATGGGTTTAGACACTGTAGGGTTGTATCAATTTTCTGCACTCCTTTCTCCACTCACACAAACAACAGAGAGAGGAACACTTGAGAAATGAGCTACACACACACCACCTCCCTCTGCTGTTTTCTTTTATCTTACGCAGTAATGTATTTCAGCCCAGTTCCCTTCACATAATACACCGACATCAAAGAGGAAGAGAGTGAGATTGTTTGAGTGTGCGGTGCAGTACTGACACTGAGGAGCACACAGACGAAAACACACTTGTTGAAGATGACTGATGAGCATGTGCATGCTACACACACACACACACACACGTGTGGACAGAGTGCAGGGCCATTTTATTTCGGCGTAGTTACGAGGCGTCATAAACGGGGTCAAACGGCAACTTCCCCTCTTTACCGATGTGTAAGTGGCGGTGGTTTCAGTGCGACAGATGTTGTGAACAGCACACCAAAGAAGTATTTCCTGCCGATGAGGCCACTCTGCTCATCCAAATTCCCCTCGAGCCCAGCTCTTCTGTTTTACACGTCGTCGCCTCAGTTGCCTGGTTTCAATCCGTTTCACGTTCCAGGCCTGCTGTGACGAACCTCTTTATGCTGCGACGACCGATTCCTGTGAATTCATTGTCCTTTCACGCTCTGGTTACTTTAACTAAATGTCAGATGTGGGAAAATTATCAGTTATTAATAGCAATGACAATCTGGATTTATTACTACTTTAAAAAAACGTTAGATTTGTGATCAGAGAAGAGGCATTAATGGGAGAGCATCCGAGATGCACGAATAAACGTTCCTTAATTTGTTGAACATTTCTTGGAACAGGGATGAAAACATCCTACAGCCACTTACATGAGAACGTGAATTAGCCCGAATGAGGATTCAGCAACAATTCAGTTAACTTCTTTAATGTGTCTGGACAAAAAAACAACTAAAATCGATGTTAAAATCAGAAAAGAGAACACTTACTTCCTTGTGGGCCGAAAAACTTCACTACAAATTCATTGAGTCCACTGAGGATGGTGACTTCATGCTTGCTCTCGATGCTGTCAAGTGGTTAAGGACAACATCTTGACATGACTGCATACACGTAAACAAAACACAACAATAACACACCACTCTTGAATAATATTCAAGAATGACTAACAATCTGGCCTCTGTGAAAATAGAAATGCAGCTGCTTCAGCTGTTGCCAGTTAAATCGACCTTTTTCCTTTCTCCGAGCCAACATCATCCTTTAAAGAGAGCCATGATAGCTTTGGACAGATAATGAAAACAAATCAATGCAGGAAAGATTACATTCTGATTCATATTTGACGCCTTAGTCCTGGACCTTGAATGGCAAATAGATAGCCTCGCGCTGATTTGTCATTCTGCACGTTCAAGCAATTAATATCCCCGAGACTGAATGTGAAGTATGCAGGCCAGTGATTCCAAAAAAAAAAAAATAATCAGGAACACTCGCATCAGCCAGCGGATCATATTCACCCATGCTTCAGAACCATGCTGGCCTTGCTCCACCTGTCACTCTGTAATGGCCGCCCTAAACAACAAGTCCACCAGCTTAAAAAGAGAGGAGAAGCACTCTGCATGCGCAAGTTCTCCTGTTAAGCGGTGAACTATGAGGTGAAAGACATTTAATTATTTAGTAGTTTTACAAAGAGGCTCGTTTGCATCATTGGTGTTTATTCATCTCGGACCATTTAATCTGCATCTTGGTGATCTATGGCAAGGCAGGTGCTCTCAAAATCATTTTTAACCCTCTCCATGCAACATACTGCAGATAATATGACTCTTATTAATATTATTAACACCTGGATCACACACGACATACATTCTTAATTTGATGCAAGAATGTTGGTACTCCGACATTCTGACCCAACTGTTGAGCCGGCCGAGATATTCATCCAATAAATCTAGCACAGAAACAGTCGATACATAATTACACTCGTAACAAACCCTGCTGAATTTTTGATGATTTGTATTCAGTATATTATGTGGAAAATCCAATATCACAGCAGTGAGCAGATAATGTATGCTCGCTCTGATTATTTTTGATCTCCGCTCTCGCACAAAATCATCACAGGGATATGATTTCTCTTTCATGTGAGCGGAGGGAAGAGAAAATAAACACGGGGGAAAGGAAGAGTCGGAAGGTTGAGGACATGGGATGAAACTCAGGTTCCCATGCCACACGACAGCAGCTGGCTCGTCAATCCGGATTGAGCGAGTATCCCATTAGCGGTAGCCCTGACCCCCGAAGGGTTAAATCAAACTGGGAGGTTATTTTTAAGCTTTTGGTCGAGTCTGCGAAGAGCAGACTGAACCCCTGGCTTGTGCAAGGAAATGTGTCACTGTCAGACAGAAGAGGAAGCTCTCTGTTCTGACTTGTGTTGGCGTCAAAGAGACATTCTGAGGCAAAGTCCAAAGCAGAGTGAACAACCACCGACACGAAGAGGACAATACGAGCAAAACAACAACCAGCCGCATGCAATAGTGAGACTCCAGCCAGACGTTTCAGACGACATGCGCCATGTTTGCATTCCGCAGTTCACCGACTTCTGCCCTTCATATGAGGACACATGTGCACCATACAAATGTGTGTAGCACAGGAGCGAGGGCAGCAAGGCAGATTGCTGCATTGCTGCCCTTGCATTACTCAAGTAAAGTCATTTACTTTACTTGAGTATAAGTAAAGATACCTTACTGGAAAATGACTCCAGTAAAAGTAAAAGTCACCTATTAGAATACTACTTGAGTAAAAGTCCTAAAGTATCTGATATTTATTGTACTTAAGTATCAAAAGTAATTTTCTGATATTAAATGTACTTAAGTATTGAAAGTAAAAGTACAAGTAAATGCTGCTAATAAAAAAGCAAAGGGTCAGAATTATGAGAATTATGAAGTTGATTCTTTTAAGTGCTGTGGCACCATGACCAAGGACAAGGAGCTGTGTTGAAAATAATTGGGTTGGCTGTGATCCATCCAGGAGCAACAATATTCAACATAATATATTGTACATAATATACTTTTGCATCTGCTATGAACTTATCATCATAATTCTCAGAATTCTGCGTTTATAAGTATGCTCATTCCAACTAGAGGATGTAGAGGGCAAATGCATAATATTATGTTCAGCAAAGAATATCCACTTGATGCATCAGGTCAGTGTTTTGAGAAAGGACGCCTGCCTTGTAAACTCCTACGGGCCTGATTTGAACACAATAGGCAAAGGTTTTGCTCAAGCTGAATCTGCTACCATCATAACTCCATCTGATCATCCACAAAATGACTCAAATATCAAAACATGATCGATACTAAAGCAGCAACCCAGTGATTACTTGAAACTGAAAAATGTCCTGTTCATCTTCAAAAGACTACTACTAGAATGTAGCTTCTTTACATTATATTAGAATGTAAAGAAGCTACATTGTATAGAATGATTCTATTGAAGTTATTCATTTTTTAAATGCTTTAGCATATAGCATCCTGGGCATCAAAATAGCATCCTGGGCATCAGTTTTCTTTGCAAAATGTAGTGAAGTAAAAGTCAACAGAAATATAAATAGTAAAGTAAAGTACAGATATCCAAAAAAACGACTTAAGTACAGTAACGAAGTATTTCTACTTCGTTACTATACACCACTGGTGGTATGGACTGTGTGTGTTGTGTTATAGAGGACAGCAGTGAGGCAGGGTGGGGGATAAGCTATTAATGGGGTTGAATCAACACCGATTACGCCCCGCGGGCTGATTGACATTAGCCACACTGACCGAGGAGCCGGAGGAACGAACCGGTCAATGAGATTCAAGACAACCGAATTACAGGAGAGCAGAAACGCAGAAGGTCAGAGTCTTGGTGATCGGTAAACATGCGTGTGTGCATGTGAGCGAAGGAGGAGGCATTGGAAGGGAGAAGTGAACCGATTGACTCTCTGATGATGATGATGTGGACACAAGTTGCACACAAAGAAAAGCCCACAAATGACCAATATCCAATATCTGTCACAATACAGGGAGACCGAAACCTCCAAGCACTTACACCCCCCCCCCCACTGAGCCAGTCGGACAGAGAGAAAAAGATAAGTGTGGTCGGTCGCAAAACTTGACAGGCAGGACATTCAGTATATAACAAGTAACTAGGTGCTGCATTGTCGGTTTTAAAACAAAGGTGACACATTGCATTTCAAACGGGAAGGCAAATTGGTTTCGCAGGAACAGCTGGCAAGACTTGAAAAACAGAAGTAGGATTGTATAGTGCATTTACATGCACATCAATATTACATGTCTATTTCAGGCATTCAAATATTGTGTTTGGGTGCGTCGGTGTCTCAGTTCCAGTCAAGTGAAGTCATTAAGTGACATGAACACTGTAAACAAATAAATTGGCAATAACCTGAATCAACATACATCTTGAATATTAAAGGAATAAATCTGCTAGCATTTAAAAGCTGACATTTACTGCTATAATTACATGTAAACATCATATCTCACATATCAGATCCGAAGCATTTTTCAATATTTAAACACCACAATCTGGTAAGAATTACAAACCACTGAAAGTAGTTACTGATTAATCAACATAATCCGTATATTAATGTACATTTTAAATATTCATTGTCACCTAACCAGGATGGTTTCCACCAATCAACTCCTACCAACATTGTTTTGCTCACATATATTTGTTCCTCAACCCCATCATAGCAACAATCTGTCCACCCCCCCCCACCACCTTGGATTAGTATTGATAAATCATAATCTGTGGGTCAATATGCTTTTACACCCACTTGTAATCTGATACAGAGAGTCCAATCAATCCAGACGCACATCTTCACTGAGCTGTAACAGCAACAGTCTTCTGTGGTAACACCATTTCACTTCATATAATAACATACTGGCTTGACTTTAAAAGACTGCACAGCAAGACAAGGTCTAAGAGACCTACTTTCAGGCTACCAATTAGCCAAGTGTAACCAAGCACTAAGGTCAATGTTATCCTGGTTTTAAACTTCATACGGCACATTTAAGTGTAGAAATATGCAGTAAATAGCATTTGCGGTTGTGGTCCAGACATGTCTTGTTTTCCTTTGGGTCCGTTTAGGCCACTATCCCTCTCTGACCCTGGATTAAAATATCCCCATCCTGACCAAACTCTTTCCAAGTATGGAAAACAAACACGATGGGGAATCATAAACAGCACTCAAACAACGTGGTGTCAACCATGCGTGAACATTTCCCTCTTTGGAGACAGAGAGGTTTGTTGATCTGTTGAAAGGGAGGCACTGGATAGTTTCACAGTCAAACTCCCTTTCCTTTTTTTTATGGAGGGGAAGAAGAAGCCTGCACTGTCCTTTCATAAACAGGGTTACAAAATACATTTTTTAAATCCAGTATCAACTTCTTATTGTCTTTGTTTATTTTCTTTATGTCATCTGCATGTAGAATCAAATTCAAAAAGACCAAACTGGCTCCACAGGTCAGATTAGACTATTTACATCCGAGCATGCAATACTCTGACCACCTGCTGACCCCTCCAGCCTCAAGTAATCCTTTTAAAAAGGGAAGGCACAGAGCTTCTGGGCTGAAATAACAGGAAAGGCAGCAAATCAAATATTCCCCAAAGCACTGGGAGAGAGTTAGGTTACCGAGTAGCACAAAGGAACGGCATGCAGAATTTCCAGTTAGTAACGGCACTAACCAGAGAAGAAGACCGTCAAAGACTGAACATAAGAAGCAAAGCAAAGTTAAGAAGCCCGCCTGAAGGACATTAATAGTCCGTAACCACCAAAAAGCCAGCAGGGAGGAGAAACATAAAGGGAGCGAGGAGGAAAAAAAGAAAAAAAAAAAAAGGAAGCGAAAAAAAGGGGGGGCAAAAACAGGGGGGAAAAAGAGAGAGAGCATGAGAAGATGATACAGAGCTGTGAAGAATGAAGCAAAAAGATACACAGACAGACAGACAGAGAAAGAGACCAAAGGAGAGGCAGAGACATAGTGATGCAGAGATAATGAAAGAAAAGAGCTCAGCCTGGT